AGAAGGAAAGAACAAAGAAAGAGAAAGCATTCACATGCAATGAAGGTAATAAGTTGAGCTCTCACGATTGTCTTCGATAAAGTGAGCTAGGTAGGATCATTTTTAACCAAAATGTGAATTCATTGTCATCCTCCCCTCCCATATTGTTGTACCTTCGATCCTCTAAGTATGTTCAGTGTCTATAATTGTAGGAGTTCATCAAGGAAGAAAGCCCAGCTTTGACCTTCAGTTTTAGTGTTATCATGACCATGCCAGACAAGGTAAATGATGAGATTAGCTTGCATGTATTATCTGCCAATCATTTAATTTGGTCTTTCATTGTTTGTTGGTCAAATAAAGTCATGTGAGTCATCTCTCTCTCTCTCTCTATGTGGTATGTCTATTGAAAGTGGTCATTGACCTTGCATTTGTAATAGTGTATTTGAGATTATAGTGCTACTCGATTGAGTTGATAAATTTATTATAAAATAGCAAGATGCGTTGTTAGCAGCTAGAGTATAAGTTGTCAATATGTTATGTGTTGTTCAGGTTGAGCTAATAAATCTATTATAAAATGGCAATATGTGTTGTTAAGAGTCCAAGCATAAATTGTCAATATGATATGGATAGTTGTCAATATATGTTGCATGCGATGCAAGCCAAGCTAATAAATTTATTATAAAATTACAAGATGTGTTGTTAATAGCTTAAGCACAAGTCCTCAATATGCTACGAATAGTTGTTAATATGTTGTGTGATGCAAGTTGAGCTGATAAATTTGTTGCTTACTCACTATTTTGGGCCACAATTTCTTTTTTGATTTGTTCATGTAGGATGACCTCCGAAAGAAGAAAGTTGAATATACATGGTGGCTTTTCAATCATTGCAATGATGAAAATAAACCCACTATCATGTTTATGTTATTGAACCATAGCAAAAAAAGAAGATAGAAGGGTTATTCAAGTTGTGCATATCATTTTAGGACATAACTTCTTTTGCATTTTATGTACTTACCTTATTACATAGTGTTCTAAACTTTTCATTTGGTATATTTCACTTCGTAAATGCTTATGTCAATAATGAATACTAGTTTTAATTTCAACTAGAATAGTCATCATATGTTTCTCACCAATATACAACTATTAACAAGATAAGTACCTCTCAATTAATATCAATAGGCCTTTACATTATTTATGACATAATATATAATTGACTAACAGGTTGCAATAACTTTGTTGCACACCAACCATTTATTACTAGGCCAAGAAAAAGAACAATAGGTCAAATGGTATTGACAACTAACATATTTTTAAGTGTAACAAGCTATTGATGAAATGCACAAGTGTTGCAAACTAACCATTTACAATTAGGCAAGGGGAGTGACAATTGGGCCAAAGGCATTCACCTTTTTCAAACTCATTCATTTTACATACTGTACTTTGTAAATGCTTATGTCAAGGGTGAATACTCGTTTTGATGCTTATATCATGGCATTGAACTAGTTAAATGGTAAAGTGTTGCAAGCCATTTATTTACAACAAGGTAAGAGGCAATGATAACTTAGCATGTTTTAAGTGTAACGAGAATATGATTAATTGCACAAGTCTTGTAAGCCATTTGTTTACAACAAGGTAAGGCGAAATGACAGTAGGGCAAGGGGCATTAACATATGAGGAAGGGGTAATGACAACTTAGCATGTTTTAAGCATGATAAGAATATGATTAATTGCATAATGTTGCAAGTCATTCATTTACAATTGGGCAAGGAGGAATAACAACAAGGCAAGGGGCAAAAACAATTGAGTAAGAGATAATGACAAGTTAGCATGTTTTAAGTGTAATAAAAATATAATTAATTGCATAGGTGTTGCATGCCATTTGTTTACAACTAGGTAAGGGGAAATAATAAATGAACAATGGGCAATGATAACTTAGCATGTTTTAAGTGTAACAAGAACATGATTAATTGCACAAATATTAAATGTCATTTGTTTACAATTGGGGAAGGGGGGATAATAGTAGGGTAAGAGGTAATGACAACTTTCTGTACATCCATTGACAATAGGGCTTACATCAATATTTATAAGTTTAAAAAATAGTACAGCTTTAGAAGCACTATCTATATCATTACATAATATTGACAACTCATTTAAAAAATAACTACATGGGTTGCATGGATACAGTATAGCTTTAAATATATTTATAAAAAAATATCATATGCATTTATAAAAAAAAACACCATTTAGTTAAACAAAAACAAAAATGAATGTCTTTAGCAACAAACGGCATGGATTAGGGTTATTGCAAGTCTTAAAAATACAACTAACTTTATGACATCTTTCACAATGATAAATCTTATTCTTTTAAAAATTAGATTCACATATTTTTGTTCAAGGCCTTTTTAAAGGCCTTATGCTCTTTGGTGGCTTCAAGAATGTTGTTTGTGAATTTTATTTGACCTCCATTACTTTCATGCCTTATAATTATTGATAACATTCTTTTTAGTTCTTCATATGTTATCCCTTCCTCTATACTTTTTGTTCTTATACTCCCACCCATATATTGCATGCTGTCTTGGGCATAGTCGGCACTAATGATGTTCAGGGGGCTAATGCACCTTCTGAACATAAGAAAATTTACAAGAGTTAATATGTTCTAATATTTTGCCCCCTTGGTCTAACTTTAAAAATGTTTTTAGTTTCAAAAAATTTTATGCTCTCTTGAAGTTAGAAATAATATTACTGGCTACCATAACAATGGTAGAAAAAGACTTTTCTGTTATGAAATTTGTGAAAAATTAACTGCAGAATGTATGGAAGATCTATTGATGAATAATTGTTTGGTGACTTATGTTGAAAAAGATACTCTTTCTATTAAAAAATGTAAGGCATTTTTTGAGGAGTTTGATGCTTAAAAATGTAAGATATTTTTAGTCTTTCAAAGTGTAATTGTAACATCCTAATTTTTATATAATAAAAAAAATTATGGAATTTAGGTTTTGAGGAAAAAAAAAGGAACTTGTTATTCAAGACACAAGGTAACCATTATTAATGTGTTGTGATGGGTGTGTTTGTGAATGGTTATGTGTTGTTTTATTGTTTGGAAAAATTATAAATTATTGAAAATAAATACTGTTATATACTTCTGTGAAATCATTGTCAAGTGGGTTAAAAAATTTATTTTTGTTTATCATGATGAGATATTATTGTTCGGATATATTTCTGTTTGAATATTTGAATGATGCATGACTTGTCAGGGTATTTTAATGTATGGTGTTAATGAGAATTTCTGTTCGGTTAATTATTACCACGTGGTAAGCCCTCATTAGACCCAATGAGTGGTGTGTCGCTTAGTCCAACTCACCTTTGGCTGGGTGATTTGGCGTCCGAGCATGGCGAAAGGAGGATATAAGGTGCAGTCATGCAAATTAAATACTTGTTCGGTTTATTTAAAAGTATTATTCGATTAAATGTTTTGTGTGCCCACTTAGCAATCGCATGATTAGTTACATCCGCATGCATCATTACATATTAATTTTTGGTTACTGAGACTTTTAAGTCTCATTCCCCGTGGTTAATATTTTTACAGGATCGAGTCCGGCCGAGAAAGCACTAGAGGTGTAACTATGGTGTATTAAACACCATTCTTTACGTTACCTCTTATTTGAATTATACAATGTATCTTGTGCCAACTTAGGACATATCTTCTTTGTGAAGCATGTAAACTCTAATCCTTTTTATTAAAAGTATTTATTTGACCAAGAGGATTGCTAGCCTTGGGTATCATATGTGAATTGCCCTCTTATTTGAAAAAAATGTAATAGATGTCTTCCAGAATTGCTAGCCATCTTTTACATCAACCTGCACCACACATAGCACGTTGACAACTATCTATAACATATTAACAACTTATGCTTAAGCTATTAATGATGCAAACAATATATTGTCAACCTGCACTACACACAATATATTGATAGTTACCCATAACATATTGATAACTTATGCTTAACTTGTTAACAACACATCTTATTGTTTCATGACAGATTTATCAATTCAATAGTGCTAGAATCTCAAATGCACCATTACAAGTACAAGGCCAGTGACTACCCATAACATATATACCTATCATGAGAGAGAGAGAGAGAAACCACCCACGATCAATACACTCATAACAAAAGAAAGAGATAACTCTATTATACTAACAAACAAAGAAAAATTATATTAAATGATTAACAAGGAGTACATACAAACTAATTTCATCATTTATCTAGTTTGATGCAGTCAGTATCGCATTCTTTGAAAGTTGAAGTTGGGTTTAAGTTGACTCGAATGTGGGCCTTATTTCTTCAAGGACTCCTACTTAGCTCCCTCCGAAAAAAGATTGCAAGAATAGGTTTGAATTCTAGCTATAATATGATTTTATCTAGTTCATTTCGAAGATGATTATGAGACCCCATTAGTTGGTTATGGCTCCATCTTGCGTGAATATGCCTTCCTCTTTTCTTCATTTATTACTTTTCATTCAACGAGGTCAAATAGGTCATTTAAGTTGCAGAATTATTCACATATGAGGATCGAGAGATTTTAAAATATTTTTTTTTATTTGGTGAAACTTCGTTATATTTAACTTTTTTTTTATAGGACCTTATTGTGTTTTTTTCTATAATTTGTAAGGGTTATTTCTGTTGGTGACATAAATAGGGGAGGCACATGACACATGTTGATGACCGTAGGGGAGGCATGCTTGTTGAGGGAAAGCAGAAAGATATTTGAGAATTGAGATTAATTACGTTTATTTTGTTGGTTGGATATAAGTCCCGTGCACGTTTGTGCATTGTGAGGCCCTTTCATACTCCGTCCGTCTCAATCATTCCTGCAATCCCTCTTCAATTACGATTTTTCCTCCCATCGCCTTTTCTCTATTTTTTTTAATCCAAATCATACAAATTCTTAAAATAATCCCATTCTACCCGATTCGCTCTCCAAGCCATTGGCATCTATAAATTGAACAAGCCTGTCTATTTCTCTCCTCACAGCCCAACGCCAGCCCAACGCCCCTCGGTCTCTCTCTCTCGTCTTCCTCAAATCATGGGTATCCTCTGATTCAACCTAACCCTCACGCGACTCTCCCTCCCTACTTATTCCCCTGGAGGTTCTGTGGGTGGCATTCTTAGAGATGGAGAAGCTCCCCAGCTTTGTCGTCAATGGAGGCATCAAGCTTCCCATTGGGTACAGGTTTTGTCCCACCGATGAAGAGCTTGTCATTCACTACCTCAAGAGGAAGGCCTTCTCTCACCCCTTACCCGCTTCCGTCATTCCTGACTTCCACGTCTTTTCCGCCCACCCTTCCCGCCTTCCAGGTTCCTCTCTCGCCTTTCTTTCTTTCTTTCTTTCTGCTTCAGAATACACAATGTCTTCCCCGCAAATCTAATTTTTTGTGTTGCGTGATTTGCTTTTTTTTCCCCCCTTGTTCGGGGATTTACCTGAACCGAATCCGAATGGTTTGTTGAATTTGGTGATTGTAGGCGTCGGTGATCCCAAAGAAAAGAGGTATTTTTTTAGCCATAGAGAGGACCATTTTCACAAGAGGCCTGTTGCTTATGGGTACTGGAAAACCATAGGCAAGGACAAGCAAATTGTTGCTTCTGACAGCAACCAAGTGGTTGGTATGAGGAAAACTCTGGTTTTCTGTGAAGCCAAGCGTCCCCGTGAGGCCCGGATTCAGTGGGTCATGCATGAATTGCGCCTTCTTCCGTCTGAAACATCTTCCAACCCGTCATACCAGGTAAAAATATAATTGTACAGATCGGTTACCATTGCATGTAAACATAAAAATTAACAGATTTAGAGGAATGCCCTTTCGATGTGCTTCATTTTTTTCTGGTTTATTATCAGTGCTTGATACTAGATTCCAATTTTGAATTCAAATTCAGATGGCACCGGCAGACTGGGCTGTATACCGCATATTTCAGAAGAGGAAGCTCAAGAGAACAGGATCTAACGGTCGACTCTCTGACACGAGGAAAGTTCAGAGATTAGAGGATGAGAAGATTAAGCCCAGTTTCATAGATTTCACAGTGTTGTATGGGAGTGACACGGGACCTCCCCCACCTGGCTCTCCAAGTTTGAGTGAAGGCAGTGAAATCGCTTCTAACAAGCTAGATTAGGAGAAGATGAGGAGCTTGCATTAATTAGATTTTCTTTGTCATGATTATTATTATTATTGTTATTATTATTATTATTATTATTATTATAGTCACTGAGAAGTCCTTAGAGATTAGAGAACTCTTCGTGGGCATTTGTTTTGATGTAAGAGCAGCACAAACAAGTGAGTTTATTAATAGTACTATGGACTAACTTGCTTTATTAATTTGACATGATTATAGTGGGAAGATAGTTGAGAATATTTATGGTTGCTCTGAACGTAAAGCTTGTTATTATCAAAAGGGCAATGATGTGTCAGGGGAAAAGACGATCCAGAGTGTAATAATAAAATGCAAAGAATGGATGCAAAAGGTAGGCATCCAAAGCAAGAAAGGAAGAGGGGGTCTGTATTAATGAAATCAGGATCATGATGGTGTGCGAAAATAAAAGATGCCTTGTGCGTGCGGGTGTGAGCTTATGAGCATGACCTGACCACTCACATGGTGCTGCGTACTGCTCAAGTCCCTTCTTCTTAGCATCACCACACGGCCTGTGATTCCAATTCCCACTTCTTTTCATGCTTCTTCCTCCGTTCAAAAAAAAATGCTTCCTTTCATATTTTAAAGGGAGGAAAAACACAGGCAAATCTGCAAAGCCAAATCTTTATTTTCCCCTTTTCTATCTGGATTTGAGAATAAAGAAGGACCTCTTTGGATTTGGGAATAAAGAAGGAATAGAAAAGGAACAAATTATGCTCCCACTCCCCAAAACATAAAAGATGTTTTTTAAGTTACACTATCTAATATTGAAAGTTTATATTATACTCTCTTTTCTTAATTTCTTTCTCTTCTTCAATAGAACACAAATGGGTTAACAGATAAAAATGTTTTGAAATTTTTTTACAAGAGCTGTCTAATATCTTAAATTTATTTTTTGAGTAATATTATCTTAGAATTTTTAAAATAATGCAATATTACCTTTTCGTTGGAGTTGATTATTAGTTGATTGTTAGTTTATTAGTTTAATTTCTAGTGGCTGTCACCTGACATTTTTGAAAAAATTAAAACAAAAACACAAATCCACGTCTCTTCCCCTTCCCATCTTCCATTTTAATCTGCCATGGTCGAGAGAGAGAGAGTGAGAGAGCTTCCAGGACTTCTTTTTCCTCGCAATTCTTCCTTGTTTTGCGTTGTTCTCTTCCTCATGTTGTTCCTCGCTTGCAGAGGTATTTATGCTGTTCTATTAGGTCATTTATTACCCATTTCTTGATTTTCCTATGGCTAGGATTTATGCCCTTGCATTCTCTTACTGGTAGTCGGCCAATTGTGTCTTTTGGCATGCTTTGTGGGTGGTTGGGATTTTCTTCGTGACTGGGTAGGGGGCAGTTGAAGGATTTGGGTTCGGTTTTTTGGCTGTTTTCCACCTTGCTTGATCATTTTGGTAGTCAAACTCAATTTACTCAAGCGCAGCCGAGGGTGTGACCTTTCCTTTAAGGTCAGCCCAAGGATTGTGGTTTTACAAAATACATGGTGGTCTTCTTCGCCCTTCTTTTTGTTCCTTCTTGTCGTACTTACATCAATTGGTAGTTTTTAAAGTCATCCAACTTGTGTTCTCCAAGTTTATGGTATCTACTTGTGCATCTCTTGCGACAAAAGTCCAACCAAGTTTTTGGTATTTTCAAAATTTTGGACAAATTTAAAAAAATAGTTGAAATGTGTGATTAAAATACAAAACTATGGTCTTCCCATGCATATGAACTCCCTCTATTATCCTTTCTCTGTCTAATTAATTTTCTCTCTGTCATAATTGGTTTTAAAGTTATCATATTAACCACTAGGAATCAGACCTCTAGACTCTTTTGACTAATACCCTAAATTGACTTTTAGAATTAATTATGCTGAAAGAAAACTAGTAGATTATGAAGCTAATTGCCAATTCCAACCCTTAACTCAATCAAATGAGAAAAATAATTAGTTAACTTTAAGTGTGCTTAATGCATAACTGTGACTCACAAGCTCACTAGAGTTAGCTATAAAAATTAAATGCAACAAAAGATTGAATAAAACTAAATTTGAACAGGCCTAAATTCAAGATTTCAGCACCTCAATTGATAAATAAACAACATAATAATCATATAATACTCAACCAGGTATCAGAAAGTTCAATTCCAATGATCATTGTCACTATAATGTTATAAGCATAAAAAATTAAGGAACTAAACAAGAAGAGATAAGAGAAACATCTAAAATTCAAGAATTTAAAAAGAGTTCATTCACGCATCATAGTAAGAGAAGGCGTCTAGCCACTCCAAGCATATGTTTGTGACGGCTTTTTTATTTTTCAAAGATTAAACTTTATACCAGCTTGAATGCCCGATCTCCTGTACGAAGTGAAAAAAATTCAATTCATATAATCTGTAATCACTTTATTTCTCTCACTATGGTTTTCTTTGCATGGGCTGTGTGTTTAGAGTTTGAATCTCTCTAGGTTTTTGGCTGTGCCGTGTGGGTAATGGCTGGATTTTCATTTGAGCTGTGGGTTTCATTGATTTTCTTTTCCCTTCTGAGATTTTCTGCCGAAATAGGCTTTCTATCTTCGCAAGATACCCTGTAAATTGATTAGAGGAAGATCGAGGGAGAGAATTTAAATACAATAATGGCTGATAGAGATGACGGAACTAGCTGTTGCTACTGTGAAGAATGCTAAGGGGTGAGGGTGGTAGTGCGTGGAGGCATAGCAAAGACAACGTGGATCTTTTAAAAAAAATTAAAAATTGAAAATGCTAGGTGGTAGCCATGAGTAAATTAAGTTAAATTTACAGCTTTAACGGTCATGTAATATTGCTCTTTTTTTAAAATTTTAAGATAATATTGTTTCAAAAAAAAATTTAAGATACAAAACGTTCTTCACCAAAAAGTTTTCAAATATTTTTTCCTTTTAATCCAACATAATATGCTCTTATGCTTACGTTTAAATATCATAACCTATTTTAAATATATCTTTAATCCATTTTTTTAGTAAACACAAGGAGTAAGCTCTATTCATAGCGAGAATTATCTCCTCCAAAGTACTAAAAATAAATGATAGGTCTCCTTCAACTAAGTCACTATGTAATAAATTATTTTCATAAATTCTCATACAAATCAAAGGCAAAACTGATGTTAATTGGATTGAGGAGAAGGGACTGACTGAGCTTTCATTGAATAGCATGACGGAACTTGAATTTGATTTGGTATTAGACAGATGTATAACCAATACAAATCAAATAACATTGAAATAAAATAAATTTTATTAAATAAGTTATGTTTTAAATAAAATAAATTTTATTCTTAAAATCTTGATTGATCAGAGTATAAAAATTGTCTTGCAATTCACATAGTTGACCTCATAGGGTAAGATAAAACTTCTTGCTGTTATATATTTTAAATTACCATCATGTCTCAACAAATTGTTAAATAAAGTTGCAAATACTTTCTCAAAGAGCTATGGACTTACTAGTGTGAGAATTTTAGTTGCAAATTATTTGTCCATATTAATATATGAAACATAAATGCATGATTTGCGATTAACATTTCCATATTTACAACTGACTGAAATTATTTTTAACCCATTTATCAACAAAATTTTTTAGGATCTAACTATTATTAAATTGATATATTGGGACTTAAAATAGTTTATTCCACAAAAAAAAGTGCTTTTTATCCTACTGCATATTAATGTGTTGGCATCGATGATAAGATCAAAATGAAGCATATTTGGTGCATATAATATTAGTTACCTGAAATGCCATATTAATGCTCAAAGTGAAGCACTGTATCCACTGCAATTGGCTATGTTTTCATAAACTAGAGAAGGTAACGTGGAAGCCAGTTATCCATTTTTGTCCTATATGTCAGGGTCTAAAATTCCACTCCCTAATCCCCCCTCCCTAGAAAACATTCGACGTGAATGATAAAACAGAATGGAAAGAGGTAGAGAATGGAACCAGGCACAAACAACAAAAGCTTGGCGATGGTTGAGTCTGGGAAGGGAACAAGGAACAAATTAAAGGAAGTACACCTGCACGTGATGAGTGAGGGGGAGAGAGAGAGAGAAACATTCTTTCAAGCTCGGATAATAAAACGTCTTGCGACTCTGATTCGTTTCATCAATAATGCATATAACCTGTTCACGTCTTAGCAAACTCTATTCTGAAGCTGAAATTAAAGTATACATTATATTTGATCACGTAATTAACTTTTAATTCATACATGCACATACAGAGGGAGATTAAAAGTAGTTTGAAGACATTAAATAACCGAGGTATACCTCAGTAGACTTTGATACATATGATAAAACAAGTAATAAATAGTTATGTGTGTGTAGAGATAGTTTGAACATGGGAGGAGGAATTGAGTTGCCGACCACAGTAAATTGTTGAAGCTGAGAAGCCTGCAATCTTTGCTTTTGTCGTGGGAGCTTCTCCATCACTGCTTAAATTGCCCCAAACCTTAATTCACTGTCATGTGAATCCGATGAAGACCTAGCATGAGATTTCTGACTTTTACGCCCAAACATGTCAATCAGCCTTCCCCATTTTCACTCCCATGCCTACCCTGACCGCTCTCTTTTCTTTTCTGCCAGATTTTTTCCCCCAATCCCTTGTTTCAAACTAGTTTCACTCGTGACTTACAGCTACTGCATTCTCATTGTCCCACAGCTGCACCTGCACGCTAAGTTACTTGTATTCTTCCATCATGTTCTAGTTTGAATTATTAATAACGCGGTCCCTTACTTGTTTGCGCCAGTATGAATAACTCGATCAAGTGCCAAACGTTAATTGATCTGGAGGCCTTGACTATTGTATATATATAGGAAAATAAGTAGGCGTCTAAATGAGCGTGTGATATCCTGGCACTTCTGTAAAACGCAATATAAATGAGCTTGGCAGTTCTCTCTAACAATGTTAGTATTGTGTCGTTGTTACAATTAGACAGAGAGAATATAAGGAGGGAACAGGTAATTATATAAATACTTGACAGTTACATAATGGCGACCAAACAGAGGACGGCCTCGCTAGATTTGGATTGCTTCTGCTGCAACCTTAATCGTAACCGTAAAACTTGGTGGCGTCTCTCGTGAGATCTCTCTGTACCAACGAATTCTGGTCCCTTTATACAGTACCTTGGTCTTGCTTCCTCCCAATTCCATCCCTGGGTCACCATCTTCCGATCCTCTGCTTCATCA